CTGTCTTCTCACGGTCGTGGTCATCTACTGAGATCTGCCCATATCCAGATTGAAGATCAAGTGACAAAAAATACTTGGCACCATGGAGGCAGTTGAGCGCGTCGTGGATTCGAAGCAGGGAATAGACGTCTTTTTTAGTGATTCGATTTAGATGGCAATAGTCAATGCAAGAGCGCCAGCTGTCATCTTTTTTCTTAACTAGCACAACAGGTGATGCCAAAGGGCTGGATGAAGGCTATATGACGTCTTTTTAGAGCATGTTCTCTACCTCCTTCTGAATAACTTGGCGCTCAGCGTACGAAACATGGTGGGGGCATTTGTGAAGCGGACTTGTGTCGCCTGTGTCAATACAGTGGGCTACGACACTTGTGTGGCCCAGTGGACGGTCGTCAATGTCAAAAATATCGATGTAGGAAAGTAAAACACTGCACAAGGCTTCAACTTGGCAAAGAAGAGGTTCCTGGATACCATTTTGTCCAGAAATGTCTTATTGTGCGCTGCTATGACGTCTTCAGTTGCAGTGTTTTCATCAGGGTGAAGGCAGAAATTGTGCATTTTTCGGCAGTTGAAAGCTCTACTAACGAGATGCTTTGGGGAAGAACTTGGACTGACGTGGAGAAGTTTAGGACAGGAAGCAGTGTCTTGTTGTTGGCGACAGCCACAACAGTATGTGGCAGGACTATGTTGCGGGAAAGAGTGCGGTCAATGAGGGGAGCTACGAAGTAGTCGCCATCAGGGACCGACTGAAAAGGCGACATAGTGACGTACACAGCAGCCTGAGGTAGAAGTCGTAGAAACTCCATAGACCGTAGGAGCATGCAACTTGCAGGAGGGCATTGTCATACGAAGGCAACTTGAGCCTTAATACACAGGATGAATAATCAATGAGGGCAGAGTGACTGGTCAAGAAATCAATGCCAAGAATAATATTGTGTGGGCAAGCGGCAAGAACAGCAAAGAGTACTGAAGTTTGGCGGCCAGCAACTGTAACACAGGCAGAGCACATACAAAGGCCAGGTGTTCGGCTTCCAATAGTTACGCGCACTGTTGGGAAGACAGCAAGTGTCAGGACCTGCTTGAGGCGGCATCGAAGCTTAGAACTCATCACAGATAAATGAGTGCCAGTGTCGATCAGTGCTGTAGCGGCCAGGTCATCGATGAGGACAGCAAGTAAATTTCGTTTTGGATCAGAGGTCGTTAGAGGGTTTCGGGTGCTCATCGCCAATGCAGCACCACCTCCAGGAGCTGCACTTATTAGTTTTCCGGGAAGTGACTAGAATGAGCCGGCAACGGAGAGCGATTGCGCCAAGGAGAGCATGATCAGTGACCCTAAGATGACGGTGACCGACTGGAGAAGTTCCTCTGAGTGATGGTGTCCACGTAAGTGGGTTGAGATCAAGTAAATGAGCGGAAAGTGTAATGTTCTGAAGGTGGTCATCGGGGGAGTATGGTCTAGAATAATGTCCGCTATCCTGGCTGCGGTCACTTGAAAATCTTGGTTGAGAAGACCATTTATTATGGCAATGATGGGAAACGTGGCCAACGTGAGAACAAAAAAAAAAAACAAATCGGTCGATCGTCACTGGTGCGCCACTCAGATGGATTGCGGTATCGTGGGGGGAATCATGGCACCGAAGAGGATGCGACAACAAGTGGAGCAGCGTTGTGGCCGGGAGCCTATATGTGCTGGGGCGCGAGGAAGGTAGCACACCAATGTTGGCAAGTTCTTGCCGAATAACGGCTTGAATGAGTGAAATGATTGCCAAGTGGTCTTGCGCAGAGCGCACACAGGTAGCAGGGGCCATGGCTTCTAGCTCCTGGCGAACAATCCGTGAGGTGGTAAAATTCGCGTTTGGGCGTGGTGGCGCAAGATCTTCGCACGAGGAAGTCTCAGCGGTGTTTGGAAGGTAGTTGAAACGCTGAGTATAATCCATCTGATTTTAGCTTGCTCAAAGCGCCCACATTCGGTGATGATGGAGTCAATGGTGGCACAATTCTAACACATGAGGATGTTGAAGGCGTCATCAGCTATGTTCTTCAACAACACATTGTTGACCTTGTCTGCCTTTGACATGTCTTTGTCGGACTTGCGGCACAGGGCGAGCACGTCGTGAATGTAGGCGACATAAGGTTCAGTGTATGATTGAACACGCAAAGCGAGTTCCTGTCTGGCTGCCATTTTTCGAGCAAGAGACCGGCCGAACAAATTGCGAAGCTTCTGTTTGCACACATCCCAGCTGGTAACGTCTTCCTCGTGGGTCTCATACCACACATGTGCCGTACCCCGTACGTAGAAAAGGATATTGGCGAGCATAAGCGTCTCATCCCACCTGTAGTGCTTGCTCACGCGCTCGTATAAGGCGAGCCATTCGTCGCTGTCAGTTTTGTCGGTTCTGCAAAATGTGCTGGGGTCTAGAAGATGGAAAGGAACCACAGGTGACGGAGCAGGCGTGGACTGGATAGACGGTGCACTGCCTTCAGGCATCGTGGCTGGACGAAGGTGACGTCCGTTACGGAGATCCAGAATCGGAATGCTACCCAGCGCTCCCACCAAAAGCATATCACGGAAAGTATTCATTTAGGGGTCGTCAGTCCGTAGGAGAGCGGGATCACAGTGCACAGGTCGCACAGAATGCCAGACAGCAGGGCAACCCAGGGTGAGCACCACAACACCATTGTCGTCATCTTCTTTCATTAGGGGCCATTTCAGCTGCTCCACTGGAGAGATATTTCCACACCCGTGACAATATGTTTAATTGTTTCACTTAATTAAATGTAATTAACAAATAAATTACTATTGGCTAGTCCACTGTACTAGGAACAATATGCAGTAGGTTTTTTTTGAGTAACGCTGCCGGCTTTTTTTTTTAAATGGTGCTGCGAATTAACTGGGACACCCTGTATAAGGGGTCTCTTATAAGCAGTGTACCATGTCTTCATGTTATTATCAATACCTGTTCAATGTAGGCAAAATGCGACCAAATAATCTTAAGGCCAGACCCTTTTGCAGTGTTCAGTACATGTACTAGTATTTCTTTCAATACTGTCCAGTGGTGATCGAACCAGTATAAGATTTGGAGCAATCTGGATAACACAGCTGCATATTCATTTACAGTGCCTTCTGGGCAAAGCGCTCAGGAGCGTCATCAGACAAACTGGTTTCAGCATTCCGACTATAACTGATATGTATCTCCTTATTTCATTTAGATTAAGTGGGGAGGATCGCTATAGCCTAGCAGAATGATTGCAATGCTGGCCAGCGTTTGCTACTGCGCACTGCGATTCGTCACATCACTGTGGCTGGAGCTCATGAATCCCGAGGGGATTTTTATTTATTTTTTTATTTATTTAATAATACTGTCAACCCTCACTTGAGGGTCATAACAGGGAGGGAGTACAATAGTAAGTACAAACAGAAAACCAAAACAACTGGCACTCAAATAGCAATGCACACAAGAAACCAAAATTGGCAGTAGTTCAATTCAACCATGACGAAAATGAGCATCAATTTCTCTGTTAAAAGATTGCACATCGGTACTATCAACATTGATGTGGGAATAAACGTTCTCGTGTTCTGGGCCTGTGTGCTGCATCTAAGTTATTACATGGGTCATTATGGAAAGGCTCTCTAGTTGTGTTTTTTGCAAGGTTTTAGCTTTAGGCCATAAACAGTCGAATGCGATGTAAACAGCTGGACTGGGGAACTTTGGCACAGTTGGCAAAGCAGTACTCAAATGGGCACAAGTATAGTATACCGAATTGTAGCAAAATGGTGCAATTGTCGCAGTTGGATCCCCTCTGACTGTATGCTTGGCAGATTGCTACACAGAGAACAGAATCCATGTTTTCTCAAGCACATCTAATTATCTACCATGACATGGCTTCTGCTTGACCTTCTTGGAAGCTGGCAAAAGACTTGATCACATCAGCTAAGGTGCAGCTGACTGCTTGCATTTGCCAAGTAGTTTGGCTTTCATGCAGTACAGTGCAAGAAAGTGCTTGCAGAGCACTCTGGCTATACTTGAGTCATGTGGACACAACAGGTGTCCTCAATTGGGAGTACCACCAATGGAAGAACATGCAGCGTGCTTCTGATTATTCTAGGCTCCAATTGCATCAACTTCTCTTTGATTTATAACCGAATGAGCCACTCAGTGTTTGCTCAGGTTATAGTAAACACTGAGTACTTGCTTCCACGACAGTTGCAACAGCCTTGAAAGCAACCAATGGTTCTGCAATCAAAACTGGAATGTCTCTTATAAGCAAGATTGTGGGGCCAAAAGGATGAATAACTTGTTCTTCACAACATTCTTCGAACTGAGCGCAAAACAAGTGGCTTGATCAATGAGCATGGTAAAAATATTCAACAAATTAAATAGGGCTTCTGCATACGGAAGGAAAGAAGAGACACACATGGCGACAAGTCTGTCTATTCTTTCCTTCACTTTGATTGCAAAAGCACTGTTTTATATTTTTGTCATGGAATCTCGCCAACTTGCCCAATTTGCCTGTCTTCTCCAATGAACATGACTGCATCACACCACTCTGGGCTACCGTCAATGTTTTAAGGACGGGTCAATGGAAGCAGAATAGGCGCAACGGCTTAGCTTAACCCGCATCACTACAGTGCATCAGACTAGCATTTCTTTTGTTTCCATAGATAACATTTGGCCCACTGTTCAAAAGACCTTGCTGGCATAGCATAAGATTGGGATAACTGGATGTTAAGTTCAGAAAAATTTATTCTTTTGCATTACTAAAAGGAGGCCTTATCTTTGTTTCCCTCTCTCCCTCTTTTCACTTTAGCTGCCGTATTTAAGCGATCTTGTATCTTTTTCCCTTTAAACAATTCTTCAGTACTGCACATTGCATAAAAAGTTAAATTTCAATCAAACAAAGTTTTGATTAAAACAAAGTGAATTGACATTTTCAGACTTCTTTATATAAGGGTTTAAGAGTAGTATGTGCAATTAAAAAGTATAGATAAATTCCTTCCTCACCTTGACAAATCTCATTTCTTTAAACACAGATCGTGCAGGACTGCGCTCATTTCCAGGCAAGATTTGGACATTCTGAAATAAAAGAAACATCACACTTGAGTGAAGACAAATGTAATTTTCATCACACCAGTGACATGAGCAAATAACCTACAAAAGGAAAAAAAAATGCACACTATTACCATGCTTCAGACAAAGAAAAAATATGCCATGACATCATGCAGGAACTCAGAAATTGTGGTTAGTTAACAAGCGTGTTTTAAAAAGGACACTACATCCTACTGCACAGCCCACATGCAGACCAATTTGCAAGTTTTATTCGTGACACATAATTTGCAGACATCAGCCTACAAACAAATTATAAATATGGTGAAAGTATCTTAATTGTAAACAATTATATGTCATTAAGGAGCATTATAGAATATGCTGTAGTAAGATCTCACAGCAGTGAAGCTGGTTATATCAAACTAATGAAGATGATGAAGCTATCATTATTCGTATTTTCTCTAAGGTTCCACACTATGTGATGAACGACAGAGCACGTCTCTTCTGGCAGCAGCAGAAGGCAAGGGATCGCCTGAATGCTGCTCATGTCCTGGCATCCATAATAGCAGGCATGTGAGCATCTTAGCATATCAAAGTGCACACTCTACAACGGGCACAAGTGTGTGTGTGTGGTTTTCCGTGTCTCTTGCATCAGCACCAAATTTGATGTTTCTGTTGCCACCATGTGGCAAGGAAAGACCATGAGCAGTTTAAAATGTCGTACTATTAATACTAAACATTAATCTTGCAAGCAATCGCAACCATTTTAGAAAATAGATGCCACCAACAAGGATAGCAGCATCTTGCTAGTGATCTCAATGAGTGAGAAAATGAATGTCAACGCTTGTGCAACAAGTTGCCACTCTCTACATACCTCCCAAGTTCAAGGATTCTGAATCCGGGATTTCCAAACCGGGAGGGGGTGGGGGTGGGGTTTTTTTTCAGCACAAAAAAAAACCAAGAACATATAAAAACATTGCGACAAACAAAAGCGCGTGGGGGAGAGGGGGGTCCTAAATCGCAAGCAACATCAGCGTTGCGGTCTTATAGTGGCTTGGAATGGCCGAACACACGAGGGTAAGGTTTCCACCTAAGGTGAGAGTCTTACAGAATCAACACAACTAGCAGAATCTATTTCCGTCAAAACAACTCACGTATGTCTTTCTGGGACACACGTGAACGGACGGGACGGCGCAGCTGGCTGCAGCGAAAGCGCTGGTCAAAGCTTTGCGTGTTTTTTTTTTTGTTTGTGTGACGTATTTACTGCCTTTAATCTACCCCTACGTTAGCCGCGTGCCCTCGGAGCTCGCAGGTAGCTATTGCGTCGCCGTGATTGCAGTTTTGTGCGCAACGGTTGCAGCAAAAGGTACACTTCCTTTTTTAATCACCGTGCGCTTGGCTGCACACACGTTTTCAAAACTAAGACGTTTTATGCCATCTATGATCGCATCTGCTGCAGTTTTGTCAGCAGAGTTTGCGGAAAGCAGCGTTGCTTTGACTGGTTGAGTGTTGTACGTGCGCACACTTTCGGGGTTTTGTCAGTTACGTCATACATGATCTTGTCAAGAAGGACCTCAGTTTCTTCCACAGCAGTTGTGGCTGCGACAATCACACGTACAGTAGAAGCCATTGCGTGCACCTGTTGCACACGTATTTCCGAAGCTTCGAGTATCCTGCTCTTGGCCTTCATTCGACGGTTTCCGTACTAAAGTTTGTATCACCGGCCGCGATTAGGAAATGTGTTCGGAACATCCGAATTTAGAGTCAATGTATTCTAGCCTACATTACCAATGGACATAGTGAAACTTGGCTGGGGTATTTCGTGAATTTGTATCTGCCCCGGTTTCACATAACCGAGATACTACTGTACCTTTAGATGAACAGGTCTTAAAATAATTTATAATAAAATGTGGTAAGTTCGAAAAGCCTGGAGCGGATTGAGCTGTTTTTTTGTCAATGCGGCCAGGTCATGCACAGAAATTTCGATTTCCGGGATATTTTCTTGACAACCATACAAACGGAAGAAACGGTCGAAATCCTGGAGTTTCCCAGCCGATCCGGTAGACTCGACAGGTATGTTTCTACCATGTACAGGTCAAAATAAGCTATCCCCAACCAGTTGAAAAAGAGGATAGGTTCCCAGCAAGAATAATCGGAACTTCTACCTCAGACAAATGCTTTTTCAGCAAGTTCACTGCTGCAGCATGTTTCATCTTTTGAGGGTCAAAGACATGTACAGTCAACCGCAAACGCTTACGGATAATGCAAGCATGTGGCCAAGAGCCTCTTTGGGACATTTGCACTATGTCGACGGCAATAGACAGCAGCACTACGCCCAATACGTATCTCTCCAGATGGCCTCACTATGTGTATTTTACACTTTGCTTTCTTAACGTGACCCCAGCAGCTGTGGCTAGAAGCCTGTCTCGAGAGCAATCAATCAGCCTAAATGTTACCAGTTGCAACCTTTCTGATAAAGTGGTATCACTTCAAAGCACAACATTCGAATTGAGCATGGTAGCTTTGATAATACTATCAAAGTAAAATAGTGGCATTCATACGGCAGCTAAGCACTTTGTAGGAAAACAATAAAGTAACAATGTCCTACATGACAGTATAATGTACATAAACCAGTAAGTAACAAGAAGACTCGTGAAAGGCCCAGCAGTGTGGTCAAAGATATGTGGTACATGGCTACGTCGCACGAACAGGCAGTTTGGCACGCACTCGCATGATTCGTAAACTTTGCTGGTCGACTGCACATCAGTGCCTGTATGTTTTAAACTCGTGCCTTTCTGTGTCTTTTTTTTTTTTTTTTTTGCCTGGCATGTGCTGCCACAGTGCGGCAATAATGGGCTTTTTTTCCGCCCTCAATTCCCTTCCCTTTTCTTCTTCTTGTAATGTTCCACTACATTGGTGTGCCAGCTAGTTTAGACTTGACCGCTTCGCCATTTCCGCAGGCCTGATTGGCTTTCCGGTTCAGAATCTGATTTAGCAAATGTCAGCCCCCCCGTCACATGAGGTGTTACTCAGGAGTCAAGATGTTTACGAGCAAGCGACATCTCAATAGCGGCAAGACGATGCTTATCAGATAAAAAGTGGCCTTTATCCCTTCATGTTTCCTTTAGATGCCACTTCGTCCACTTATGCTTGTACATCCATGAACTAGACAGATGTTAATTGCAGTGCATATTTTTTTAAGTCATATAGGCTTCTTAAAACAATTTATCTTGCCATTATTCACGAAAAATGCAACAATTTGTTGCCACTTTACGATCAAGCAAAAAAGTTTTAGACAATTTTTTTTATTAAATGACTTGTCTTAAGTTTTTTTTAGGAATAAAAAACACATTTCTGAGACACAGTTTCCAAAAAAAAATCGACCATCAAAGGTTAATATCACCAAACCGGTTTTTTTTTAGCTGCTCATTGTTATGGTCCACTATAAACCCCATAAAACTGTGTGGGTGTTCTAAACAAAACTGATACTGAAGTGGTGCCGAAATTCAATTAGTAACCTTGCTTCCATGTCATTTTTTGAGACTGTGCTCTCATGTAAAAGGCCTGCACAGGGTTTCCACACTGCTTGCTCATTTTTCACTGTGAGTGGCGAGCAGTGTTGTAATGCCTGAGGCGATAACCAAGGTTTGGCAAGCTGCAGAGGCAGGGTATATGATGATGAGTAGTTTTTTAGTGGCGCGAGGGCCAATTGATGGCCAAAGAGCGCCATTTCAATTGACTACAGATATGAACAATGATATTATGCGTGGCTGTAAAAAGGCCTTAAAATTCCTTGCTCTAACGCGGGTTAAAACATGGGAAGTAATTAAATCATGACAGTGGCGTGACATATGTGTAGTGATAGCGGATGGCAAAATGTCATGATAATAAAACCATGATGAAGATGTAGTCACCGCAGCCACGACCACTCTATAGAGGTCGTGCTACGGATGAGCTCGAAATATCGGGTGAAAGCTTTGCACATCTTTTAAAAACGTGAAAAGTGTTTGCAGTTTAAAAAGCGGATCCCTACCGATGAGCATCCCAGGGTGTAGAGGGAGCTGCTGCCGGTAGGGCAGTAAAAAGTGCTTTTTTCTTAGAGCATCTAGCTCATTGCACTGGACGAGAATGTGAAGAACCGTAAGGGGCTCTCCACATCTCTCACAATATGGTGAATCACTGGTAGACAGAAGAAATGAATGTGTAGAATGTGTATGTCCTGTTCTAAGCCTTGTTAGTATTACTTCTGTGTGTCGTGATTTTGATAGTGGCGGCCAATAACCTAGCTGCGGCTTAATAGCATGGAGTTTAGTGCCTGTGTGTTTATCCCACATGCTCTGCCAATACCCCCTGAGCTTTCGTTTTAGAAAAGGTTTTAAGTCAAGTGCAGGGACTGCTGTTGATGCATTGGCAGTAGTGTCATGGCTGCAAGCAGCCAGATTGTCGGCTAAAACGTTCCCTTGTATCTCACGGTGCCCTGGAACCCAGCAGACAACGATATGCTGTTTTGATGTGTACAGTGTGCACAGATGTGAGTAAAGTGACACCAGCACGGGGTTCTTGTGTTTTTTAGGAGTTTTCGGGGCCTTGACCACGCTTAGGGAATCTGTGTATATTACCGCCTTTTGTAATTTTATCTGTTTAATGTGTTTTACGACTGCCAGTATTGCGTAAGCTTCTCCTGTGAAAATGCTTGCATCAGGATGAAGAACGCCGGCCTCGGGAAAGTATTGGCCTACCGCTATATATGACACAGAAGTGTTTGACTTTGACGCATCGGTAAAGAACTCAGCGCATGAGTATTTATGTTGTAGTTCTAGGAAGTATGTATGTATGTGTGCGAGTGGTGCGTGCTTTGTGACATCAACAAAAGAGACATCACAGTCTATAAGCTGCCACTGCCACGGTGGCAGATATGTTGCAGGAGCCATCAAACTGTGTTCAAGAAGAGGCACACCTGTTTCTTCGGCCAGGCTCCTTACACGCAGCGCGTAGGGCTGCCTAAACGAAGGACGGTTCTCGAACAAGCC